GCACAGGAGGTGCTAACCCAGCTGACAGACTCAGCCAGGAGTCACTTATTAACAAGTTGACCATATCAGGAAAACCAGGAGTGAAACGATGTCATCGAAAGTACCCACTTGGGTAAATGTTTACATTTATAAGGCAGAACACACACACACACACACACACACACACACACACGGGAAAACTTCTATAGGAAATAAAATCTACCTTTAACAGAGCAAGGTTATCTGGACAGTTCACGCTCCAAAAGCCAGAACAAGGTAAAATGATTGTTCAAGGCCGTCCTGAGCCCTGTGGGTCCTCTGGGAACAAGAACAATCATTTTAAAAAGCCCAGTCTCCCCCTTCTGAATTACTGGACTGCTAAGGAATCGCCCACTGAACCCTAACCCTGAATCAGACCCAGAGCCCGGAGATCCCTCCACCCCAGAGCTGAAGATCGTGCTTAAAGAAGACTGCACAGGATGGAAGTCTTCACAGCCCAGGCAGGGAGTGAATTAAATATGCAAGGACACAGTGTACTTGAGGGCTTCAGAGGTGGGGTTTTATCCTCTGTCTTGATGAAAAGTGAAATTCTTCTACTGTGGCTGACCCAACAAGATAACATCTAAGTATTTTCAGAATTGCTTCCACATACTTCTGCGAATTTTGTGTTTCCTGTTTTAAAGATTTCTTTTAAGTTTATTTATTTATTTTGAGAGAGAGGGAGAGAGCACACGAGCAGGGGAGGGAGAGAGACAGAGAGACAGAGAATCCCAAGCAGGCTCTGCGCAGACCCCGATGCGGGGCTTGAACTCATGAACCACAAGATCGTTTCCGGAACTGAAACCAAGTGTCGGACACCTAACCAACTGAGCCACCCGGACATGCCACTGTTTCCTGTTTTAAAGGAAAACAGGCTCTTCTGGGCTGGGGGGACCCAGGCCCTAACATCTAGGCTGTCCCTCATTCCTGCCTAAGGCCATGCTTCTGGGTTAAGGTAGCCTGCTTTGGAAACCATCTCCAAAACAGCAGAGCAGAACTGACCCCAGCCCTCTCCATAAAGGCAGTCAGTGGCTTCTTCTATTTTTACAAGCTCCCTAGAGCCCCGGGACCCACTCCAGAACAGCCTTGCCGGCAGGAAACAAAACTTCCTTTGGTCTGAGCTCCCTCCTGTTGCAAAGCATCGCATTTTCCCTGCCGGTCAGCCTTACAACATTTCCAGACCACCAAAGCCCTAGGAAAAACTCCTGTGGCAAACTTAACCCAAGCCTCCTGGCTCCACGAGCACTGTGCACTGAGTCGTCACACGCATACTTCTCCTGGCCCACCCGCTTCTCCTGCCACCCCAGCCCCCCTAGCGGCCTGGCAGACAACCCCTGAGGCGGCTCCCAACTCAGCACAGGCCGCTCTGGTTTCCTCATTCAAGTGATCAAGGGGCAGTGGGCCTGGGGAGAGGCAGCCATACCCCCTTTCCAGGAACTTTAAGATTTCCAGTGATATTTACATATCCAATGACATCGGTTTATGTTTGCATTTGAGTATAAAACTAACTGTCATTGTAAGCATGCGATCCCATCCAGTCCTCTCTGCTAATTATAGCCTTTCCCCCAAGGCTGCTGGGGGACCATTCCAGCTCCAGCCAGAAGCAAATGGCCCATCTGTCATGCAGGACATCTTCAGCTACAGACAGCTGGGG